ATCCTCAAATTCAGAGCATGTATGTAAAAATTGATGGGTACGTTTTGTCCTCAGAGGACCTCTCTGCTGCTCTGGTTTTTGTTTTTGGGTGTTTTTTTCCTTTGGTGATTTTGTGTTTGTGTGTGTGTTTTGTTGTTGTTTTGTTTGGGGGCCACAAGTGACAGTGCTCAGGACTTACTACTAGCTCTGCGCTTGTCACTCATGGTAGTATTGCTAGGGGACCATAGGAGGTATAGGGGATCTAACCCAGGTTTGCCACATACAAGACAGGCATCCTCCCCGATGTGCTCTTCCCAGTCCCTCTGCTATGGTTCTTATGTGAAAGAAGTGCTGGAGTGTAGAGGTGGTGGAGGATAGGTTAGAGGAGTCCAGATGTCCCATGTCCAGGGTTGAGTCAGTGTCTTTTCCCTCCCCTCCTCCTCTTCAGCTGTTGTACAGTACTGATCACTTAGGATGAGTGGGGGCGGAGGGAAATGACAGCTCATGGATGATAATCCTTGTCTGTGACACTAGGAAAAAGCCTAGTACCTCAAGTGTCTCTTCTATTCAAATATGGTTAAGTTGTGGCTTTGTAGCATGTGATCTTTAGCAGTTCTCTTGGGCTGTGAGCTGGATGCCAAGCACTGAAGGGGAGATACAAACCATGACTGGGCTAGAGAACATGCTGGATTGATCATCTCAAAGTCAGAGCAAAGCCACACAAAATGTTAGCAGAACACCCAGTGTGAGTCATTTAATCCTTCATAAGTCTTCTTTGCCTTGGTTTGCAAAGTGAGTTTGGATGAAAATCTGGGTCATTTACAGCCCAAGTCAAAAATTATGAACAGTTGGGACAGCCTTGGTGGCTCTAAAGACTGATGCATTTGGTCATTAGAGTTAGGACATTTGACTTTCCATGTGGAAAAAATAAAAAGGAATTTCCTCATTACACCTATAGACAAGGAGTGTTTCTAATACAGAAGCCAGAAGCCCACTTGTGGGCCTGCAGAGGCTTGAAGTGTCAGAGTTTTAAAGCATGTCTCTGCAGGTCATGTGGAAACCCTTACTTTATTCAAAACTCGTGCAGCCTAATACCCACTGTTTTTGACACTGAATTTTTGACTCCAGGAATGGTTCCTGGATCATCTTATGAACCCAGAAAACAATTAGAGGAATTCATGAAGTCAAAGATTCTGAGAGAAAAAGATGAACTTCTGGGAGAGAATCTACATTTTTATCTTTAATACTAGACTCCATTGTCATAAACCCAAACCTAGTGGAAACAGAAAAAGGTCTTATTTTAATGAGATAAGCCTTTTTCAGCTTAAAATGTAAACCTACTTGAAAATAGTACGCATGCCTTGAGAGAAACTTGGCCCACCCCAAAATTTTATTAAACCATATTTTAATTTTAAATAAAATAAAATGATCACTTAGAATGAGTTTTTTATTTAATTTTAAATTAAAAAATGATTATTTTTTAATGATTTTCTTTCTAGGATAGAAACACATTGTAACACAAGTTTCTTTGTTTACTAACTCATACTTACATGTAAAAACCTTCTTGTTTTAAGTATAACAGTTTGATGCAAGTTTTTTGTAATTTGTACTGCAATGTTATGATCACTACCTCAGCCAACATACTGAATGCTAAAAGGTTCTCGCTCTAGTGAGAGTCTCCTCCACCCCTCATCCTCCACCCTGCCTCCACCCTTACCCTCCAGCAACCACTGATCTACTTCCTGCCCAACATAATGAAAATACTAATAATCATAATTATAGAGTCAGAAGTCTTGAAATAATGCTTTGGTCAAAGGCTGGCAAAGCGGAGCTGTGAAAAATGAGGAAGAAATCGGTCCCTAGACTGCTGGATATAACTTGAGTTGTCTGCTGGCTCTACTGGACACCAGGACTCCCAGAGTGTCCAGCAGTCAGATTCAAGGGGCCCTGGAATTTTTTACAAATAATGTGGCCAGACATTTCTAAGATAACAGAAAGAAAGTACACAGGTGGACGTATGTAGGGTGAGAATAAATCTGACATCCAGGTTTTTATTTTCTTTGTTTGCTTAGGAGTCACGCCCACCTGTGCTCAGGGCCTACTCCTGACTCTGTGCTTAGGGGTCACTTTTGCAGAAACTCAGGAGAACTATATGTGTTGCCAGGGATCAAACCCAGGTTGGCCACATGCAAGACACCTTATCTGCTATACTCTGGCTCCAGCCCAATAGCTGGATCTCTGCACATGAATCTAGGTTGTTTCCAGTGAGATTTTCAAAAGTCCAGGTCTTCAGGTCCAAGAAGACTCTAAAGGACTCCATCTCTTAAAATGGGAACATTCAAGCCTAATCATTTGCACCTCTGAGTTGTTCTCCCATTGTCTCTCTGTCTAGTCATTAAATAGCTCAGTGTCCCTGGCTCCCACGGAGACTGCTGACTCATCCACACTGGAATGCAGGAACGCTGGAGTACCTGGGGTAGCAAAGACAAGAACACAGACGTGGTAGCACCACAGCGGGGCCATATTTGTGGGGAGGGTTCTCCTGCCCATGCCAAGGTCCTGAGGCACCCCAGAGAAGACAGCACCACCCTCCTGCCTCCTGCAGGGGCACAGGTGCATGCAGGAAGTGGAGAAGCTCCACCTTATCATAACGCCAACAAAGCAGATGTGGCAAAGCAGATGCAGCAGGCAGGGTGGGGCAGGAGGAGCCCTGGAGGAGATTGGACGAAGGGGACAGCCATTCTGAGGAGGTGACCTTTGCACTGAGCCAGGAATGACATCAGGAACCACCCCTAGCTTGAGAAAGAGTCTTCAGGAGTCAGGACTCAGGTGTCAAAAAGAGTGGGAGACAAAAGGAGAGAGAGAACAAAAGGGAATGCCCTGCCACAGAGGCAGGGTGGGATGGGGGGATGGGGGATAGGAGGGATACTGGGACCTGTGGTGGTGGAAAATGGGCACTGGTGGAGGGATGAGTATTTGATCATTGTATAATTGAAATCCAAGCACAAAAATTTGTAAGTCTACAACTGTACCTCATGGTGTTTCACTAATAAAAATTTAAAAAAAATAAATAAATAAAGAGTGGGAGAAAGAAAGCCAAGGTGACAGAGAGGACAAGCTGCGGTGGAAGAGATGAGAAGCTTTTTGTTTTATTCTCTTTCTTTTAGAGATGAAAAGTTCTGCATCAGAAACACAGATATTGGCCTTGCTGAAAGCCAGGACAACTGTGTCCAGTGTAGGGTACCCGGGGGTCCCTGCTGGCAGATTCCCCTGGCTGGTCCCCTCTCACTGGAACTGGTCAGAGGTTTCCAGCTGGCAGGAAAGGGAGGCCTACTCTAACCCAACCTCTCATTTTAGAATTGAGAGAGCAGAACTCTCATGAGGGTAAAGTTCTTCTTGATAAACCCAGAGGAATGTTGGCTGTTGATTTTCATGGGCTGAGGGATTTCTTTCCACACAGTAGGGAGAGATGCTGGGAAGTGAAGGCTGGGGAGAGGTGCTGGAGGCAGGGAAAGCCCAGAAGTTGGTTCCCACACGCTTCTGGGCTACAGGGCACAGGGCGCTCGTACTGCCCTCTGTGCTCTCTTGCCATCTGGACGTGCAACTGACAATACTGGAAGAACTGAGATGACATGCAACAGGCATGTGGATAAATAAACTGTGGCCTGACCTGCCAGGGAAGATGACTCCCCAGTAGACAGATAGGCACCAGCACTCTCCTGTGTAGCCCTGTGGCTCATTGTCCCAAACATGCCAAACAAAGAAGCCAGGCTCCGCAAAGAATTGACTGGAAGGTCCTATTTTTAGGGAGCATCAGGTCAGGCAAATGGAATCAATTGAGGGACCAGAGCCAGAGTACAGCATGTAGGCCATTTGCCTTGTACGCGGCCAATCCCGGTCTGATTCCCAGCATCCTATATGGTCCCTCCCTCCAGCACTGCTAGGACTAAGTACTGAGTGTAGAGTCAGGGGTAACCCCTGAGCATCGCTGGATGTGACCCAAAAAGAAAAAAAAATGACTTCTAGGAGCAGGAGCAAAGGTTGACTGCAAAGAGACACCAAGGGAACTTTGGTGGAGGGGGGGCCGGGGGGCGGGGAGGGCACGTGGTAATGGAAATGTTTTATCTCTTGATTGTGGTGGAGGTCACATGTGTAAATGCATTTATCCAAGCCTTCAATTGAATGTCCTTTTAGGTTTATATTCAAGATCTATAAAACACTCACAAAATTCAATAGCAACAATAAAAAAAAACCAATGACCCAGTCTACAAATGAAGATAAACAGGCCCTTTCCCAAAGAAGACATACGAATGGCCAATAGGCATATAAAAAAAGTACTCAGCGTCATTCATGATTAAGGAAATATAAGTCAAAACAATGATACTACTCATGCCAGTGACAATAGCACAAATAAAAGTCTAGAAACAGCTGAAGAAATTGTACCATAGGTAGCATGCTTTCCTTGCATGCGAACAACCCAGGATCTATCCTGGTTCCCCAGAGCCTGGCAAGAGTGATTTCTGAACCAGAACCAGAAGTAAATCCTGAGCTCTGCTGGGTGTAACCAAAAAATAATACAAAAAGTCTAGAAGCAGCCAGTGTTGGCAGGGCTGTGGTGAGAAAGGAACACTCATCCACTGTTGGTGGGATTGTTGTCTGGTCTAGCTTACGTGGAAAGCAATATGGAGATCTGTTCCAAAAAATAGGGATAAAACTACCAGTGAATCCAATTCTCAGTGTCTGTCCCCAAAACAAAAAAAAAATACTCATTTGAAAGGACATATGCACGCATATGTTCATTGCTGCACTTAGTACAGTAAGCAAGATATTGGAATCCAGATGCATAACCAGAGATGAATGGATCAAGAAGTTGTGGCATGTAGAGACAATAATGACATTTGTACAACATGGATGCAACTGACCAGAGGATATCATGCAGAGTGAAGTCAGAAAGGAAGGGACAGATAAGAAGGATCTCACACAGATGTGGGACTTAAAGATACACAGCAAGGTGGCAACGAATGGCCAAAGGCAACACAACTGATGAACTGATTCGCACAATTGAGTATGTGTGTGGTGGGGAGTTGGAAGGGAGTGGGATTTCTGGGGGGGAGGTGGGGACACTGGTGATGGGTGTGGTGTTGTAATCATGTGCATGATGTGTATGATAACCGTCATTAACAGTATTGGAAATCACAGAATCTCAATTTCAAATGTGCTTTTAGTTAATGTCCTTTTAGAATGGATGTGAACTAGATTGCACTAAATTAATTAATTAGTAATAAGTAATTAACAAGTAATTGATTAGTAATTAGTAATAAGTAATAGATACATTTCTCCCTGAAATCACCTGCACCCTAACTTCGGGAATTGTGACCCTTGCTTGTGCTCATGGGGTTCCCTTGGTTCTCTCTCTCTCTGTCTCTCTCTCTCTCTCTCTCTCCCCCCCCCCCCCCCGTGTCTTGTGTGCGGTGTTTTGGGGTCAAACCCAAAGATGCTCAAGGATTATTCCTGGCTCTGTGCTCAGGGATCACTCCTGGCGGGGCGTGAGGAACCGTGTGAGATGCCAGGGATCAAATCCAGATCAGCCTCATGAGAGTCAGCACTTTACCCCTGTCCTATCTCTATGACCCAACGTATTGATTTTTAAGAGGAAGAAGGAACAAAAAAATGGTTAGGTCACTCTTCCTCGTTACCGCTTCTATAACCAGGCAGTGGAGCAGATCCAGTTCTTCTGCCACATACAAGGGACTGTGCCCTCAATCCCTGCAGTCAGGATCCAGATTCTATAAGAAAGCAGCCCTTCCCTTCGCATCTGAGAAGACTTAAAAGTCGGTTGAGGCTAAGGGAACAGGAAGTGACCAGCTTGCTCTTGTGTCAGAGCTTCCTCCATCCTGACTCTTGCCCATACCTTTGCTTCATGACCAGCCCCTCTCCTTGCTGGGACCCATTTGTTTGTTCTGATGATTTTTGCTGAGCCCCCGATGAGCTATTACTAACCTGTTGTTTTGCTCTTACTTTTATTTTTTTGGGGGGGGGGTAGGGGACCATACCCGGTGATGCTCAGGGGTTATTCCTGGTTCTGCACTCAGGAATTACTCCTGGCAGTGCTTGGGACCATATGGGATGCTGAGGATCGAACCCGGGTCAGCCATGTGCAAGGCAAACGCCCTACCTGCTGTGCCCCCTTGCTCTTACTTTTGATGTTCACTGGTTGACACAATAGGCTTCTATGTCATTTTCTGAGGAGGTTTCCTCCTATTCTGGCTTATCCATAGTTCCTGTACTAAAGTGCCCAGGGCAGGGCCTGTGGCTTTTGCAGATCAACTCATCCCTCAGATACAGTGCAGCATGTGAACTTTGGCCTCTGGTTCAAGGGGGAGAGGATGGAGGTTCTCTAGTTACTCTCAAATCTGCACAGGATAGGGAGGGGGAGGGGGGACAGTTGGGGGGGGGGGGGAGGGACTGGAAAACACTTGACTCTGTTTAGATTCATTTCTGAGAAGGTGTGACAATGCCCTGTCAGCAGGGGTCCAGTTTTTTGCCCACTGGCAGGAACAACACTTCCCTTTGTGTCCTCCACTCTCTAGGAGCAGCAGGGAAGGTTGCAAAGCTGTCCTGGGGCCAGCCTGGAGCAGCTGCGGGGTTGGGGGCAGCTGCCAGTGGGTAGACCTGAATCGCCCAGCTCACTTCCCTTTCCTTCCTTCCTTCGTTCCTTCCTTCAGAAGCCGTTGAGATTTCCCTGCCACCTGCTAGCGGCATCATGGTTCTCATCAAGCCCGGGACCACACCGCTGCCACTGAAACCCTGTTACATCCTCATGCTCAGAAGGCAAATCAGCATGTTGACCATCAAACCCGGCGAGAGAGTTGTCTTTTCCTTTAGCTGCCCAGACCCCAAGAATCACTTTGTCATCGACATCCAGAAGAATATCGGTAAGACCTCTGAAGCTGTCTCCCTGACTTCTTCCCCACGCTAAGCCACCCAAGACTACTTAAGTAGCTCATGTAAGCTTATCAAGTGATTGCAAAGGAATTACTCAGCTGCTTTGTGACTTAAGTTTTCCAGTCTGTAAATCAAGTTATTGCACCAAACAACAGAGTTGTTTTGCTCTTATTTTCCTTATGTTTTGAGGATAAAATAAAATAGTAGTTTCAAAACACAATAGATACTCGGTGTTACTATTATTCATAATTTAAGATTTATGAATAGAAGGTTGGGATAGGAGGTTAACATAAGAAATTATAATCAAACAGAAAAAATACTAATGTATAATTTCCTGATCATTTTAAGGTAGGCATGCCAACAGAAATTAATCAATGTGAAAGCATTTTATGTGATTTAATCAAAGCCATAGGCAGAAAATGTCTTTGTTTTTCACTGAAAAAAAATATGAACCAGACAATAGATCAACAGGCAAGAAAAGGATAAAATGAAGCATATGAATTAAAAAATATTAGAGATGCAGAAAAGTATATAAATATGGTTTTAAAAAAATAACTAAAATAAAAATAGCAAAAAATAACTAAAGCCAAGAGATGGTTCTCTGCAAGCACTAAATAAGTTGATAAATCTCTTTTCTAGTCTCAAGAAAAAAAGAAAGAAAATATAACTAATTATACAGCATTGAAAGCATAAATGTCGATTTAATGACATTTGTGGGCTGGAGTGATAGCACAGCAGATAGGGCGTTTGCCTTATACACAGCCAGCATGGCCGGCCTGAGTTTGATTCCTCTGCCCCTCTCGGAGAGCCCGGCAAGCTACCGAGAGTATCTCGCCCGCATGGCAAAGCCTGGCAAGCTACCCATGGCGTATCCGATATGCCAAACACAGTAACAAGTCTCAAAATGGAGATGTTACTGGGCCCGCTCGAGAAAATCGATGAACAACGGGAAGACAGTGACAGTGACAGTGAATGACAGTTGTAAGAAAATGACATACCACGGTGTTTGCCATTATTTTACTGTTATGTTTTATTTTTAGGTTGTAGAAAACTTGTGTATTGAAATGTAATCACACATTTAAAACAAAAGTAAAGTTGCATGGTTGGTGGTTAGGGCACTTGCTTGCATGAGGCAGACCTGGGTTCCATCTCCAGCCCCCATGTGGTTCTGAGCCTGCCAGGAGTAATCCCTGAGCACAGAGCCAAGAGTAAGCTCTGACCACCACAAGGTGTGATGCAAAAAATAAATAAATAAATAAATAAAAGTAAAATTGCAAGAGACTATTATGATAATTATGTAAAAGCTTGAATGAAATGGATGATTTTCAGGGAAAATGTAATGAGTTGTTTAATTCATAAAAAAATAATTAGGAAACCTTGGGTTGGAACAATAGTACAACAGGGAACTGAGTTCCCTTGCATGCAGAACCAGGAGTAAGCCCTGAGCACTGCCAGGTGTGCCCCTCAGCAGACTAATCTCTTATGAATATCCATGCCAAAAAAAATATTCTAACTATATATCAAATATATCAAACCCACCCCCCTAAAAAAGCATTAAAAGAATAAAAAGAATAAAGCAACAAGACAAGGGCGAGTTTGCTGAAAGAGTGTACAGATTGTTAACTCATTAGTAAATCAGTTCACCTGATGTTTATATTATTAGGTGAGAAAGAAGAAAACCAGACATGATCATTGTAGATTTTAAATAAACGTAGATTTTTTTAAAATAAAGTATTTCACGCTAGAGATCATCAGATCTTTTCTTTTTGTCCCCTTTTAAAATTTCTTTGATTTGTGGGGTTGGGGCTATATCCAATAACCCATTGCAGGCTTCCTCCATACAGTGCCAGGGATCAGGTCCAGGCCTCCGGCATGCAAAGCATGAACTCTGAAAGGAGTGTTTTTTTCTTTTTGATTTTTGGTTTTGTTTTGGGGCCACACCTGATGGTGCGCAGGTCTTTCTTCTGGCTCTGCACTCAGGAATTACTCCTGGCAGTACCTGGGGGACCATATGAGATGTCAGGGATCTAACTTAGGTCAGCCACATGCAAGGCAAGCACCCTACCCCTTGAACTACCTCTCCAACCTGAGAAAGAATGTTTTCTTTCTTTCTTTCTTTTGTTTTTTCTTTTTGTTTTGTTTTGTTTTGGGGTGATACCCGGCAGTGCTCAGGGGTTACGCCTGTCTCTGCCTTCGGGAATGACTCCTGGTGGTGCTTCACGGATCATATGGAGTGCCAGGGATCGAAACCAAGTCAGCAAGGCAAACTCCCTACCCACTGTACTATTGCTCCAGCCCCAGGAATGTTTTTGTTTTGTTTTATTTTGGGCTGGAGCGATAGCACAGCGGTAGGGTGTTTGCCTTGCACGCAGCCAACATGGCCGACCTGAGTTCGATTCCTCCGCCCCTCTCGGAGAGCCCAGCAAGCTACTGAGAGTATCTCGCCCGCATGGCAGAGCCTGGCAAGCTCCCCGTGACGTATTCGATATGCCAGACACAGTAACAACAAAGTCTCCAATGGAGACGTTACTGGGCCCGCTCGAGCAAATCGACGAACAACGGGAGGGCCTTTACCTTACCTTTGTTTTGTTTGGGTCACACCCGGCAATGCACAGGGGTTACTCCTGGCTCATGCACTCAGGAATTACTCCTGGCGGTGCTCGGGGGACCATATGGGATGCTGGGAATCGAACCTGGGTCAGCCGCGTACAAGGCAAACACCCTACCTGCTGTGCTATCTCTCCAGCCCCCAGGAATGCTTTTTAATCCAATAACATTTATCCATGAAAAGTACTGTGATGGCAGATATAATTTTTTACTGGACCACACCCAGCAGTGGTTGGGGAAGCCTCTTGGCTCCATGCTCAGAGGTACCCATAAACATATGGTACCAGATTGATACACAGGGCTTCTAAATGCAAAGCATGTGCTCCAACCCTTTGAGCCACCTGCCAGCTCAGCAAATACAATTTTCAACAAAGAAGTTGGTCAAGGAAGTGTTGCCAATAAAACGGGGAAAGACATAAAGTCCTCTCCACAGGCTATTGTTTTTCAGAAATTCTCTACCTACTCAGCAAATAATATTTTCAATAGTCGGACATAGAAGCATTGCCAGTATAACAGGGAACAACATAAAGATCCTATTCTTCATGCTGTTCTCTTCAGAGGTTCAACCTAAATATTTAAGGACAGTCTTAGTGAAAGCAGAGTGTATCTAACACAAATTACAAAATTTTACTAAGGAAAAAAGAGAAGATGAAAAAACGAAGAAAGATATCCCATGTTTCTTGAGAAAAAAACTTCAAGTGTCAACTCTCTCCCAAATTAATTTATCCGCTTACGATGATCACAATCAAAATTACAGTGAAACTTTTAGAGCTGAGTAGAATTTTGATAGAATAAAATGGACTGTGGGGTGCCGTTAAAGATTGAGGTTAGTCAGTGTCTTTGATGTGAAAAGACGTCCCCAGTGGTTTTGTGTCACTGAACATGGGGCAGGATATAGTAGGAGAAGAGTTGATGTGGTTCAGACCCACTTTGTTAAAAAATTCACACATGAACACATAATCCATCACAACCCCACGTATGAAGGTATAAACACCAAAATGCTAACCTCCAATTATTTCTCAAGTCAGTTGGGGAGGGTACACAGATGACATTCATTTATTTTCCTTTTTCTCTTTTTTGACTGTCATGTTTTTTTAAGAACACATGCATTCTTGATCAGTTTGATCAATAAGGTCACTCTACCATTTTGGAAAAGAAGGAAAGGAACAAATGATCCTCTCATCAGGCAGATCTCTGTGCTAGGATGCCACACACTGTTTCCTCAGACAGTAAAAAAAGAAAACAAAACATTGTTTTCAAATAATGATTTATAAAATTGATCTGAAAATAAGATATTTTAAAATAGGAATTTAATCTTTAGATGCTTGAACCAAATCCAGTGTTCTGTCTGCCCCTGATTTAAAAAATAATTATGTGTATAAGCATTTGAAAGGCTCAGCTTATGACTGAACACCTATGTTGTCAGTCTAGGGCAATGAAAGTCAAAAGTGGTGCTAGGGAAAATGGTCTACGAATCACAGACAGAGCTCACGTCTCCACCCTCTACACGGGAACCACTTTATTATGTGCCTTTTTTTTTTGGCTTTTTGGGTCACACCCAGCAATGCTACAGGGGTCACTCCTGGCTTTGCACTCAGGAATTACTCCTGGCAGTGCTGGGGGACCATATGGGATGCTGGAAATGGAACCCAGGTCAGCCGCGTGCAAGGCAAACGCCCTACTCACTGTACAGTCGCTCCAAGTTCTTATGTGCCATTTTTTACTGAACAGGGACTAGAACATTTGGAGGCGTGTGGTCATTCTTACTTCCCTTATGTGTGGGTCCACCCTAAAAAGCAAAACTCAGCAGCAAACTCAAAAGTACTTTCTCAAGCTCATTTGGCCAGTGCCTAGGGCTGTTGAACTCCAGATACTTTTTCCAGAATTAAATCAGACTCACCCAGGTAGCCGGGACTTGTGTCTTACCTGTGTTCCAACCAAATTAAATGTGACCTAGGGCTGGCACCACTACCCAGCTAGTGCTAAGTGACCTAGCCAGGTGGGAGGTGTGGGCGTATGGATATAAGCAATGAAGTTTCCATAACTCCTAAAAATAGATACTCTCTTTATTGACACACACCATCTCCTTAGTCACATTTGTTACCTTGTTGACTAACTCTTGTTTTGCGGTTAAGATCTCAGTTGCCAGGTGAGACTTTTAGAGAGGGATGGGAGGTTGTCGAGGAGGGGGTTATAAAGGTCAGGGCTGCTTTATAAAAATGAGAAGGTTGGTGTGAATGAGTCGAGAAGTCGTAGACCTCTTTGAAATTCTTTCTTTTTTTAACTCTTTTTTTTTAAAACACAAATTTATTATCTCACAGTTTCTTTCTTTGGTGGTGGGGGGGGTGGGCATGGGAAGGGTGTTTGAGTAACACCCAATTATTCCCCTGACTCTGCACTCAGGCATTGCCATATGGGATGCCATATCAAACCATATCAAGCCATATTGATACCATATCGAATCAGGGTCTACTGCATGCAAGACGAGCACCCTACCCCCTATACTATTGCTCTAACCCTTGAAATTCTTCATTCCACTGTGAGATGACAGTACTTTGAGATACCCCATCAGAGTAGCCATCAAGATTCACAGATAATTGACACTGTGGGCTGAGTCCCCCACTGCCTTTCAAATTCCCCAGGGTCTCAACCATAAGACTCTTTTTGATACATTGCCTGCCATTCCCTCTTCCTCTGGCTGTCTTATTTTCTCTTTTAAGGTAGTACTTCTCACTTTGTTTTGAAAGACTTCAAAACCAGGTGCATAGAAGGGTGTCATGAACTGTTGACCTTAAAAATAATAATCAATGAAGCTTCCATGGTAATGAAATACCAGCATTAAAGCCAGGTGATCACTGTGCTTCAGGTTTCAGCTATGAAGGAGGAGGTAGGTTCAGCGTGCCCTTGGAATGCTGTTGAACGTGTTGATAGGGAAAAAAAAAGCAGTTTAAAAGGTGGAACTTGGCACCAGGCCCTAGAAATTGTGAAATGATCCTTTGGACTAGGGAAAAGTGGGGCTGGAGAGATAGTACTGTGGGTAGGGCGCTTGCCTTGCATAGAGCTGACCCTTTGTTGGATCTCTGGTACCCCAGATGGTCTCCCGAGCATGGCCAAGAGTGATCCCTGAGTGCAGTGCCAGGAATGAGCCCTGAGCACTGCTAGGTGTGGCCCCAAAACCAAAACAAAAAAGAGAATTGAGGAAGTCGGTGATGTCAAAGCACTGTTCTGTTGCAAAGGGCCTCCCTCTGGCTCTAGTGAGTCCTGGAACCACTTGGAGATGCCCATCAAGTGATCAGGGTTAGGGGAAGCAACTGAGAACTACATCTCCTAAAGCAGGAAGACAGACGTCAGAGCCTGCACTGGGCGTGATGGGAATGGAGGCAGTTAAACTCCCCAGGTGAGGAGGGTCCTTTGAGAACCATGGTCACCAACCCTCATGCAGCCAGGGAATGGAGTGCCCTGGTGGGGTCCCCAGAGATGGCACTGTGGATGGCAAGGTGGAGCGGCAAGGGAACATGGCATATCTCTGACCCAGAATTTGTGTCCTTTGTGACTGTGTTTCAGATTGCATGTCAGGCCCATGTCCTTTTGGGGAAGTGCAGCTTCAACCCCCCACCTCGACCCTGCCCACCCTCAACAGAACGTTCATCTGGGACGTGAAAGCTCATAAGAGGATCGGCCTGGAGCTACAGTTCTCCCTTCCTCGCCTGCGGCAGATCGGACCTGGGGAAAGGTGTCCGGACGGAGTCACCCATTCCATCAGCGGTCGCATCGATGCCACTGCCGTCAGCATCGGGACCTTCTGCAGCAACGGCACCGTGTCCCGGATCAAGATGCAAGAGGGGGTGAAGATGGCTCTACACCTACCCTGGTTCGTCGACAGAAACGTCTCTGGCTTCAGCATCGCCAACCGGTCGTCGATAAAACGTGAGCTCCCTCTTCCCTCCCAGTCTTGGCTGAGGCTGAAGCAGGCAGAAGAGATGTCTGAGTTTCTTCCGATTTTTTGTTTGTTTGATTGATTGATTTTTTTTTTATTTGTCTGATTCAGTCTGAATCCCCAAGATTAAGAGTCCCCTCTCCTGGCAACCATGAGGTCACTGACTCCTAATGTGAACCCACTCTGGTCAATTAATCAGGCTGGCAGGGAAAGGGGAGGTGGCCCTATGAGGGAGCCTGTTCTTCATCCTGGATTTAATTGGTAGTCATCGGGGCGGAGGGCGGGGGAGAGAGGAAAATCACCAGATAGGTTAGCAGCCCTGTCTTCCTTGGCCTTTGTGACTATGAGGTGTGCTTTCAAGAAAAGACATAGAATTGGCTCTACAAAATGACTTTGATTACTCCATTTCTGCCCCTTTGCCCTGGCTTCTCTCCTTCACATTTTCTTACATTGTAGTATGTGCTGGATTCAGCTCCCATTAGCTCACCAGAACAAACCTTCCTTAAAACATCAAGAAATTGAGGGAGCTGTGGTGAGATAGAGCTATTAACATGTGTTTCAATTTCATGAGCTTGCAATTAAATGAATTAGTTTGGAAACAAACAGTAATATATACTGGAACCTCCTGGCTCTGACAGCATTTTCCCATCATCTTGCTTAGAGCTACGTGAACCCTCTCTATTTGGGGAAATCTAGGGGGGGTGGAAATCTAACTCCTGCCAACCCCGGGACCCCCACAGTCAGTCTGCACATGTTGGCAACTTGAAATCAGTGATGGTCAAGAAAGTGGGCACAGGGGGCCGGGGTGACAGTACAGCGGGTAGGGCGTTTGCCTTAAATGCAGCCGAACCAGGTTCGATCCCCGACATCCCATGTGGTCCCCCTGGTATGACCCAAAAAGAAAAAAAAGTGGGCACAATTTAGGGTGTTTTTTTTTCTTTCCCTAATGAGTCTGTTATTAAGTATTTACTCACACACTACTGAGGCCCTGACTCCCATGGGCATCTCTCTCACCCCAGCCCTCCGGCAGGGTCTAATCTGTTCTTTTCTATTTGGGTTCTACCCCCGACAGGACTTTGCATCATTGAATCGGTGTTTGAGGGTGAAGGCTCAGCAACACTGATGTCCGCCAACTACCCAGAGGGCTTCCCCGAGGACGAGCTCATGACCTGGCAGTTCATCATCCCTGCTCACCTCCGGGCCAGCGTCTCCTTCCTCCAGTTCAATGTCTCTAACTGCGAGAAGAAGGAGGAGCGGGTGGAGTACTACATCCCCGGCTCTACCACCAACCCGGAAGTGTTCAAGCTGCAGGACAAACAACCCGGGAACATGGCAGGGAACTTCAACCTCTCTCTGCAGGGCTGTGACCAGGATGCCCAGAACCCAGGGATCCTCCGGCTTCAATTCCAGGTTTTGGTCCAACACCCACAAAATGAAAGCAGTAAGTGCCCGCTTTGCTTTCTCCCCGCCCTGCAGCAGCTTCTCTCCTTCCTGGGGAGTTGACTTAGGCTGAGGTCAGTTTCCTCCTTCTCACCTGTTGCTTCTCGAAAGAGCACCTGGACTCTGAACCCTGTAGTTTCAGCAAGTGCGTTGCTAGGCATTGAGGCAGACTTGTTGGTTGAGTAAGTTTCTGTCTGCCATACCATTTCAGCGCCAGAAGTCAATAGAAATTCGCATCCCGGGAGCTGAGGTTTTTTTGTTTTTTTTTTTTTAAATGGAAACCCTGGAAACAGTTCCTTCTAGGGCTCACGTCTTCTCCCTACAGGGTAAACCCGGATGCTGGCAGCACTGACAGCCGTGATAATGACGAACACAGTTCTATCGGCTGAGTGCCCCAAGCCACGGGTGCCCACTCTATGCCCATCCCTGCGCCTAGCACCCATGGGCTCAAAGAATTCTTATTACCGGCGTAGAGGGGTTAGAAAATAATAATCAATTTCAGCCTCTGAGAAACCAGAAAATTCAGAGCAGATGTCACTCTGGCCCTGTTGCACTTAGTCTAGGAGTTGAACCGACTGAGAACCCAGAGCGAGCATCCCCATTGCAACTGAGTCCCACGCAGGTTGGTGGGAATCGGGTCGCCTCTTTCTCCCCCACGTTTGCCCAGGTCCCATGAGCGTGCAGAAGGGAGTTGGCTGAGGTGAGGTTAACAGTGAAAGGGGCACTAGGAACCAAAGTGATAGGACAGCGGCTACGCCATTTGCCTTGCAATGCGGCTGATCCGGGTTCAGTCCCTGGCACCCCATATGGCCCCAGAGCCCAGGCGGGAGTGATCTCTGCTACTGGCATAATGGGGTTGAGATCTGAGGTTGGGAAAACTATCACTGTATCACTGTCATCCCATTGTTAATCAATTTACTCGAGCGGGCGCCAGTAACATTTCTATTCGTCCTAGCCCTGAGATTTTAGCAGCCTCTCCTTACTCATTTTTTCCCAACGATTGGAGCTCTTTCAGGGTCAGGAGAATGAGACCCATTATAGTTACTGGTTTTGGCATATCAAATATGACATGGGTAGCTTGCCAGGCCCCACTGTACGGGCAGGATACTCTCGGTAGCTTGCCGGGCTCTCAGTGATATATATATCACTGTATATATATATGGAAAACTATAGACATGGAATTTGATCATGACTGATTATAAGGTTGCGTGCTATGAATAACACTGTCACGGTAGCACTGTCCTCCCGTTATTCATCGCTTTGCTCGAGTGGGCACCAGTAATGTCTCCATTGTGAGACTTGTTGTTACTGCTTTTGTCATATCGAATATGCCACAGGGCGCTTGCCAGGGTCTGCCGTGTGGGCGGGATACTCTCTGTAGCTTGCCGGACTCTCTGAGAGGGACGGAGGAATTGAACCCAGGTCGGCCACTTGCAAGGCAAACGCCCTACATGCTGTGCTGTCGCTCTAGCCCTGGTGCTATGAAAAAATTTATAAATCACAGTACCTCAATAAAAAAATATTTTTTTAAAAAAGAGGGAGCACCAACTCTCAGGGGCTCCCTCTCAGGGGTGTAGGTGCCAGATCACCTCCTTAAACTTTGCCCATTGGGGGCCTTGCTGACCTCCCCAGGCTCTGGGGGGGAGGGGATGTCATATGGGTCAGACGGGACAGGGATGAGTCCCAGGAGGCTGTTCCTGGGGCTCCTATGTGAACTGGGAACTGAGACACAAGTGGCTATGATCCGGGACGTGGCCGACACCTGTGCTGAGGGTGGGTCTGTCCTTGTGATTAAGAGCCTTCCCTTCCCAGAAGCCGACTGAACCAGGCTGAGGAAAAGAGTGTAAGGGCGCATGCTGAAGGTTTCTTGGTGTGGGGCTGAGAAACATCGGAAAGGGGAGGAGCTGCCCAGCAGCTGCCTTGGGGTGCCTTACCCAGGGGGAGCCCAGCTCCTCAGGAAGCAACCCGTGGTGACCCCCAGATCCCTTCTGACTCACAGCTCCTAGGGAGAAGGCTTGGCTCTGTGCCCATCCACACATTCTCGTGATTCCACCCACAAATGTATAGTCTGAGTGTTGAAAACCTCCTGGAAAGGGGTTTGGAAATGGAGATTATTTGAGGGTAGGTGAGGGATTTCAGAGAGGAGGTGAGGAAGGGGAGGGAGTGCAGGGGAGAGGAAAGGGAAGGAGGAGAAGGAGGGAGGGGAGGGAGGTAAGAATGGGAGGAGAGGGAGGAGAAAGAGAAAGGGAGAGGAGGATGGGAGTGGTTCCTCCTCCCCTTCCTGGTGGAGCCCGACTCTGTGACTAACTCCATTTCCTGGAACATCAGCTTGGCTGATTTCTAAAACTGATCAAACTCTAAAACATGCTCCGACAGGCACCAGGCACGCCGGGCTTCTATCTGAGAACAGTAGAGGTGTGCTCTGTGGTTTAGTGCAGTGGGTTTTGGCCGCTACTTTTGCGCGGATGTGGAAAGTTTGGAACCCCTGGTGTAGAGGGAGGTGTCTCTCGTTGCCATGACCTTGGTTGGGGGGCAAGAGAGGTGTTTCATTTTCCAGGGTTGCTGCTTGGCAAGCAGGAATGTCACTGGGGATAAAGTTAGACTGGGCTGGACTCCCCAAGCACTCGCATCTCCAGACAGCTCAGTCCTGGCCCTTTAAACCCCTTGTTGACCCTGACCTTTGAGGAGTTGCCTGAAGCAGCCAATTGCCTGTGCCCACATGCATGTCTGGCCCCCACAGCTATGTGGGCAGCTTGCTGTTTGGCAGAGCCTTTCCCGGAGCTGGCCTGCTCTGCCAGGTTCTCTGCTGACTAGGTAACCTCAGGCAGGTCACTTCACCTCGGGGTGACTCAATTCCTCACCTTAAACGAAGGATGACTGGCCTGCCCGGAGGGTGAAGAGGTCACCAGGGCCTAGCAGGTCATCAGCACACTCACTCTTGAAATTACCCCGCAGCGTTTCAGGTCCAGGATGGGAGATGAGATGAGAAACACCCAGAATTTATCTTTCAAGATGAACAGTCCTATCCTAATAGGATTCCAGTGGTCTGTGGTGGGGCAGCAGTGGGCAGCATGCCTCTGGCGGCCAGAGGCACAGATAAGAACCTTCTCACACTGCCCTTCACTGCCCCAGGAAGGAACTCTGTGTTGTCTGCCCCATCTCATCGCTAGAGATAAGAGCAAAGAAGCTAAGGAAGCAGGGAAGTTTCCAGAGACCTCATCTTAGGGTTTGAACTCATGCCTGAAAGTGCTGGTCCCCTCTTGACTCTTCCCTGAGCCAGGTCAGCATCTCTTGCCCCTAAATCCACCATCCTTTGCCCCCAACAGTAGGAAATAACTGCCCAGCTAGAAGCCAAGAGCCCACGCATGAGTGCTCTGTGGGGGTTGTGCACCAGGTTCTAGTTATTTATCTGCATAGCTTGCCTCTTGCGAAATTCTTCCCCACCAGGACTCTCCCTATAATATTCCTCTACTCCCTCTGACACCAACATTTCCAGCACATTCAATGTATCGAGTAAATCCACTGCCTTACTCTCAGGAGGCATCATCTTGTCTACAGGAGTCCCATCCAAGGCACAGTCTAGGAGAAGGGGCTGAGGAACAGTGTAGAATGGGGGCACCCAAGAGAGTGGCTGCTCTGGGAGGGAGGAGTATCGGAAACAAGAGCAGAATGGATAGACGTTCCACCAAGCAGAGTAACTGTGGAGAGCCAGAGTTTCGGCAAGAACAAAAGGGAGCCATTGGGAACATCCCGCCAACCCAGACCTCCTCATTCATCATCCACAACAGGACCAGACCACAGTGCAAGCTGGGGGGGGGAGGGGACGTGGTTTCCATTTGTAGACAGCAACATCTGTGTAGACTGACGTTGACTAGAATTTAACTATCAGGCTTGAAAACCCTGCTATCAACCTGTGTCTGCAAGACAAATATCAAATAGGCTCAGACTAGACCCAGAGAACTCTGGCAGGGAATGTCTTCCCGTGGCACATGCCCACACACATCTTAGCTTGCAGGGCAAGTCATGTGCCAGTTGCCCAAGACCAGGATGTACTGACCAGTGTGTGAGCACTGATGGTTAACACCACCCCAAACCTGCATCTCAGTGGTGGCCGAGAGCTCCATAATGGAGCATTTATTTGTCTCCATGAAACAAATCAGTGCTCCTTGATGCCTTCTTTTCCCTTATTCTTCATTTTGTTTTGTTTGGGGGCCAAACCTGGCTGTTCTTAGGCCTTATTTTCGACTCTGTGCTCAGGTATCACTCCTGGCAGGACTCAGGGGACCATATTTGGTGCTGGGGATCAATCCCAGGTTGGACACATGCAAAGCAAGTGTCCTACCCACTGTACTATCTCACCAGCCCCTTCTTCTCCCTTCCTGAGGTAGCACTGTACTACCCAGTCATGCCTGTTATGGTGACACTTTTGTTTCTGGGAGATGAAGAAAATAATTTTGGTCACATAGAAGTCTCATCTAATGGTCACAGTTGCAAGAAAGCTGCTCTATTATCACAAGCAGACTGTTTATAGAATATTCTACTATATTTTATCATACTGATCAAGGAATCCTCTCTATTATTCCTTCTAGCTTCTTTCTGGTAGCTATATTTACTTACCCTCAAAATACCAGACTATATTTTCAAAGCTATGGGTTTCTGGATTATCTTGAATCAAATAAGGTGAGTGGATAGCACTCTCTTGCCATGTTACTCTGGGTACTTCCATTGCCTGTTCTGAGTAATAGCTGGTTTTGCAAGCACACTGCCTCTCAGACTTTCATAAATCCCCAGAAGGCATCTGTAAATCTTAGCTAAGTGTTGACACGTTTTTGTTTAGTGATGGTGTTCTGATGGACTTACCACATCTTGTGGCCTTCAACTTATTCCCACAGAGCACATTTTCAGTTTATACTGAGATATATCTGTCTGGTCTGAGAATATAAATCAAAGGGTGAGTGCATGCTTTGAGGCCTGGTTCAATCCCTAGCACCACGTGGGCCC